GCCCGAAAGAGACTGCCTAAAGGCGAGGGGACACGGGCAGCCATGCCACGCCCCGAAGCGGCTGGGGACTCTGTGTTCAAAGGAGCTTTCGTCGGCCAATAGAAGCAGCCTCGCGGCAAGGGGAGTGCATTTGGGCCGCTCTAGGTGGGGGAGGAAATTAAGTCAAAAGACGGCCTAGCCGTTTTTTCGGGGGTCAAAAAAAAATAAGGCCCGGCCTTATTTTGTGAGAAACACGGTACTTTATTTGTACTACAATGCTAATTATCTGCTCTCATCTTTCCTGGGATCCCCTGCTCACCAGTCCAAGTAAAGCAAGCCTTCAGTTGAGTTTTGCTTGCAGAAACCGTGGAAGTAAAGCTGTCCCGGGTGCAAAGTAAGCTCATTCAAGAGTGGCAAGGAATGGTAACGTACTTTGAGCTATTGAATTTAGATTAGTCTGTCTCAGTCCCAAAATTAAATAAAACCTCCTCACTCGGTACTCTATTTTCAAAACACTCACCTTTGAGACTAAAGCTCTTTGAGTAGCGAAGCAATGCTGGAGATAAAGAGCGCTCTGATTGCAAGCCATGCTATGTAGAAGAGCCTTCAGTACCCCACCAAGAATACTTTCCTTGGATTCAGTCACCGAAACCGTCTGTAGTCAAAGACAACAGGGCATCAGAAGCAGTCAAAAAAATCATTTTAAAGTGAAGTGCTGTAAATGCACAATGAAAAGCTAATCCTCATTCTGAGGCATCTATAGCCCAGTCACAAGAGCTGGGATGGGACTGTTGTTCTCAAAGAACCATTATGGGAAATACTAAGCATACTCAGGGCAATAAAACTAGTCCTATGCACTCTGAAGCATATGCTGAAGAGGACTGAAGCAGATCTTCAACAACACACAAGCTTATCCCCCAGAGCAGTGTTAGACTAGCTGAGGAATTCTGGGAGTTGCAGTTCACGCATCTTAAACTTGCTGAGTTTGAGAAAATACTGCCCCAGAGGCTAACAACTGAGAAGTTTGATGATTAAAAGCTCAAAAGTTTATATTCTACAGCAAGGAAGGAGAAAATATCGATATATTTTCAATCTTATGCGTATTTGCTTGAGGAGAATTCCCAGCAATATGGAAATATTTGGTTAATAAATACAAATTGCGGGAATTGTTATTTACAAGCAAGCAAACTGATGAAACCAATGAATAATAAAAACAGAAGAAATTTCACCAAACTTCCTTTCATTTTATGTTCAAACATTTCTTAGCCTGTTGGGCCTGTGACTGTCATACATGAGAACTGTTGCAATCCTGCCAGATTGGAAGGATTATATAAGATAATCGTTGACCTATCACTATTCATTCAAGTGAATATGATGGCATGAATGAATGGTGGTTAGGAGCAGCCCTCAGAGTTCCCGTTGTCGCAGCATATTACACATACACCAATTAAGTGATTGCAGTCTGGGAGCTTGGCACACTTGCAACCAGTTGCAGCGCTTCATGAAAACAATTTACATTTGCAATCTTCTCCACTGACTCCCCAGAAGTTCTGTGGGGAAACTTGCAGGGAACTTCACTAGGCACTGGGGTAAGTCTCCCAGACGCGTGCTACACTTGTGTTGCCCCAGCTATCCACATATCCCCTCGCACTCAGTCCATGACATGTCATTCTCTTGCTCTCTCCTTAACCTGTGCTGTGCCTCTTGCACATACCCTTGCACTCTCGCACAATCTTACCAATCCACACCATGCCTCCCTTGCGCCCTTGAATAGCATTAACCTATGATGTGCCTCTTGCGTACCTCCCCACCCTCATGTACACTCCTTGCAGTCTCTCACACTCTTCTTGAACAATACTCTGCCTCTTATGCACCCCCTTAGACTCTTGCACACCCTCCCCAAATTGTGCTCTCGCACAGCCCTTCCACCCTCACCGTGACTCCCCCACACCTTCCCTAATCCTGCCTTGTGCACCTCCCCATATCTCCTCATTCTGTCTGCATCCTTTTACCTGCCTGCCAGCCTGGGACTTGCAACTGAATTTGGCTGTGGATATCTGTCATGACGTTGCTCGGCCTAACAACAATGGGATTCAGTTAATGGCAGCAATTAGGGCTGTAGAGATTACTGCCGCTGACCAATGCAATCATGCTTTACAACTGCCCTTAGCAATGAAAATTTTGCTCTCAATCATTGTTGTAAGTTGAGGACTACCTATAACCAGCATTCTCAGCATACATAGTTAGCAGAGGGGATCAGGAATTATATGAAAGAAAGTGATAACTACTCTGCCTCCAATATTTTACTTAGTTTCTATATTGGTTGCAGATGAAGAAAATGATTTTTACCTACTGCTGCAATGAACACAGTGGAGCAGAAGGTCTTCATGAATCTAAATGACAGAAGACTGTCTCACTGGCTTTGGCAAGATACCCAATAAGTCTGAACCTCCCTAGACCAGGACAAGAAATCTACCCCCATCAATTGGACCCAAGCAATGTTTCCCTCTTGGTTGCTTATGTAACCATCAAGGCAATCCTCTTTCCTCTCTAGGTTTGCATGGAAGATGAAACTCTCATATTTTTGTGGTCGCTTAAGAAACGTAGCTTTCTTCATAACAAGTTAGTATCAACGATTGGCTTATTTACCAAGCCAGCTGTGATGTCGATCGGTTTGCAACATGTTTTTGTAGAATTTTGCATTCTGAATTTTTTTTTTTTACAGAAACAACACATGTTGTATCCAGGTCATTAGAAACCATGTCAAATACTCCTTAGCATCCTCACCTGCACAATTATCTCTAAAGTATCCAATATGATCAGATTGGCTTCTGTTGCCAAGTTACCATCAATAAGTGCTTCATGTTCAATCTCTGCCCGGGACCTAATAGAAGTAAAATATACACTAAAAATCCATGTTCCTTCAAGACATAAAACAAAGGAAAACAAATGTCATTCTGCTTGGAAAATAGCATGCCTCCTAAAACCCCTCCTACAATATAAAAATAGTTCAAAAAAGGAGAAAATAAAACAACTAATATGTGTCTCGTTGTCTTTTCGCAAGTTTTTAAATCGTGCTTGGGATTTGAAGATGTTGCAGAACAGCAACACTTCCAAGGAGTAAAATTGGGCTGGATGGACCAATAATCTAGCTATTTTGGAGAAACATTTTTTCTGGCAAATACAGATAAAATGCAGGCAAATGCATACATATATAGAGATGAAAAAAGACAAATTATTGGCTTAAACAGATAATGGCTAGCCTAAATGGGATAATATTGTGATTGAAATGGAACCAGAAAGCTTAAGCAATCTTTTTGCTGCCCGTTAATAGATTTTTACATACTTATAATTTAGGTTTTCATTAATCCACTATTCTTTCAAATGTTGCTAGGGAAACAACCCAGTTGCAGCTTCACCGGATTGTTTTTGCAACTGCTTCTGATGTTACTGAGACTGTTAAAACATTCCCAGATTTTGTTTTTATAGCACAAGGATGATTATTTTATATTCCTCGTCCCACCGTGCCTTATATTGTTACATTTTTCTTTTAGTTTTCCTACTAGGTCAAAAGACTAAATGATACCACTGTTTCTTTATCTGAAAAGAATGATTAAACGTGTAACCATTCTGTCAGTACAATTTTAAATCTCTTTTAAGTTGAAAAAAAACCCCAACATGATATTTGTATCAGTGAAAATGGCTTTCCATATTTCATAATGTGAACACAGGGTGGTGCTGTGTGAATAAGTGTCTTCCTAAAATATCTGGTTAGTAAAAATGGAAATGTGCATCTGGCAGATACCTTTGTTTTTCTATCCTATTCTTAAATGATACCTGCTTTTTAAAATCTGATAATGATTCCTCATAAACAGTACATCACACTACTCCAAACGAGTTGCGGACAATCTCCAGTTGTCTGTGGAATGTCAATGCTAAATACCTCAGAAGAAAAGCAGCGTAAGTTTGATTTTAAGTGAAGAATTTTATTGTTTCATAGTAGAAGCTGGTCCTGATCCATACTGACTTCTACTGGTCTTATAAAACCACAGCCATTGCTGAGAATTCTGGAAGTTAAAGACTACACAACTGGAAAGTATCAAGACTGGCTCAAATCCACATTGACATGAACCTGGGGTCCAGATATTACAGCACTCTTTTTGGGTGCTCTGCAATACATCTTTGTATGTTTGGCTTTCAAATTAATGGTTCTGTGATCAAGAAAATTGTTTTCAGAAATTAGTAAGTAACTCAGGTCCTTAATATATTGTGATCACTCACTTTCTAAAATCTCCTTTACCTCAAATAATTCTGGGGCTGAGAAAGAAGAGGTGATTTCCTTACCCTCTGCGTCTTTCTCATTACAGATTGTTTTAATCTCCATCTACCACTTTTAACTGCTGCAAGATTTACCCAGATCAGGGCAACAGATTTATTAATTATGTAGTCTATAGCATAAATATTGTTCCAGCAGAAAAATACATTTCTTATAAATAAATATGTCCTATGACATCATGCAATCCTTGAGAAATATCCTTGGAGCTAATTTAGCCCTTGGCACAGTAGCGGATCCCCCATTGGTGGTGGTCCATGGCAGGGCCCCTGGGCTCTCTTGTCAATTTTTTCCAGAATCTCATCTATAGCAAATTAAAAAGGTATTAAAGATACAATTCATTTGGCATATAGAGCTGTTTCTGACCCTTATCAGAGATGTTAAGGGATTATGAGACCATATGCTAGATATGCAATAATCACATAATACAGACATGCCTCGTGCTACAGAACAGGAAAAATTTTTGTAGCAGTATATATACACACTCTCTTTGATAGCCAATAATTTTACAAAACAACTTCTGCAAAGCATCTCAGTCTACCAGGATCTTGGGATAAACAGCATGCCAGCCAGCCAGCCAGCCAGGCAAAGCTCTATTTTTATAGCTAATTAACCCCAATGTTCCAAATTCCAGCAATTCCTGATATAACAATAACTGCAGTAACACACAGGCATATAAAACCTCTGCAAAGCATCAAAAAAACACAGCTGCAATAACAAAATAGGCAAAGGTACAAAGTTACAACTGAAAAACAAAACAAAATAAAACCCATAGCAGGATACCAATGCTACAATACCTGATCGGTTTGTGGCTTCTAAAAATACAGCACATGTAGAAAAATAATTAAAGTCATGGATTAGAAAGAAGCAACTTTTAAACTCCAGAATGCTCTAATGGACGAAGTGATTGATGACGTATCTATTTCCTGCATGTACAATTTATGGCTCTTGGCTGTATCTAATAGGATGCCATATCAGTTTTTACTACAGCAAAGATTACTTTCTTACACAGGTAGTCCTCGACTTATCACAGTTCATTTAGTGAGCATTCGAAGTTGCAACATCATTGAAAAAAAATGACTTATGATTGTTATTCACAATTATGCCATTGCAGCATCCCCATGGCCATTTGATCAAAATGCAGACAATGGCAACTGACTCATATTTACATATTTATGATCAACGTGATCCCCTCTTACGACCTTCTGACAAGCAAAGTCAATGGCGAAGCCAGATTCATTTAACAACCATGTTACTACCTTAACAACCACAATGATTCCCTTAACAATTGTGGCAAGAAAGGTTGTAAAATGGGGCAAGATTCACTTAACAACTGTCTCACTTAGCAAACAGAAATTTGGGGTTAAATTGTGGTTGTAAGTCAAGGACTACCTGTAATAGCATAACTTAATATAATCCAACAGGTCTATTCAGAAGTCCCATTGAGTTCAATATCTTATTCCCAGATACACCGCAATAAAATTGCTTTAAACATAGCTTACACAGGCATTTAACCCCTTTCAAAGCCATAAGGTGAGAAATCCTTTCTAAATCTTTCCATATTGTAGCCCACAAAACTTCAAAGGAGACAACAAAGTCTCCATATGTTGTATGCCAGTTGCTCAATCTATTAACCTAATTAGGAAAAGATGACATTACTTGTCAAGTTTTTCAGTGTTCTGCCTCCAATGCGTCATGTCCTTCCGCCACCTCAGGTTCTCTTGACTTCCAAAAGCACTTCCAGAAGGACTTCTTTCTGCCATGGAATTGTAATATTTAACATGGGGCTATGAAGTGATTCAAAATAGGACAACTGTTCCTATGCAATTCCTGCCAACCTAGCAGTTCGAAAGCCTGCAAAGGTGAGTAGATAAGTAGGTACCCCTTTGGTGGGAAGTTAATGGCATTCCGTGTGCCTTGCTGGTCACACAATCACAGAATGTCTTCAGACAAAGCTGAATCTAAAGCTCCCTTGGCTAAGAAACAGAGATGATTGTTGACCCTTAAAGAGTTGGACACGACTGGACAGGGGAAACCTTTATCTTTACCTCTACCCAAGCAATAATAAATTTTGGTAAGTGTTACAGTTTAGTTTCCCAGGTATAACTTAGTACAATGATAAAGACTGCCTCAGTGGCATAAGGAATGAATTAATCAGTGTTTTCTCTCCCTCCCTCTCTCCCTCTCCCTCTCTCTATCCTTCTCATCATGAGTAGGTATATTAACAAATGGAAGACATTTGGTGTTCATCACATAGAATTTTCATGAGGCAGACTTGAGCATTTTACAGCTCCCTGGCCGACATCCAGCCCTTTGTGCAGCCCATGTGAATTGCTTTTATTTTGAAGGCAACTTTTTCTTTCAATTTATATATGTACGTGCATGCAGGCCTACACACCTATTAGTTCGGCCCAGCCCAACAGTCCATGTGGCCATTTTGGAAAATTAATTGCCCACCCCTGATTGGAAGGGATAATGCAACGATAGGAACTCTTCTTATTTCAAGTATAAAAGCAACAGTCCACTCACCCAATTGTCCTCTGCTTCTTCGTACCATTTCTTGCCTGGCCCCAATGCTCCCAAGTATAGCTTCTTCAAGTTTGGCCCGCATATCTTTTGACTTCTTAAAAGTCAGACTGTTCATTCTTTCAAACACTTTCTTCCCCTAGATATTTCACAAAATGACAAGAATATAAAAGAAGAACATTTTCTTTCTAAAAATTAGAAGTTCTTTCTAAAAAATAAATATTAAAAAGATGGGGAAGCCTGTAAAATGCAAGTAATGTTGGAGGAGAAACCAGAGTTGCTCTTGTTTCATCCAGAGAGAAACTTACAAAGTGAGGAATATATAAAAGTATTGGGAGGAAAAATACTATTTTAGAACAGAATTTAACAGAAAACAGTATTTTTAATTTGTTTTAATCATTTTTAATATTACCTGTCCAAAGTAACATATTTGAAATGAGCAGCCATATATAAATCTGCCGTATAAATAAATAAATTTGACACACATATTTACAATATTAATACAAATCTGCGTTAACTGTCAGTGTTACTATTCTCAGAATCTTGAATTTGCAATTACAGTACAGGAATCTTCCAGCTAAGTGCACTCATTATAATTCTTATGAGGAAGCAAAGCTATTCAGTTTATGTGTCATTAAGTATTTTCTGGAAATATTCAGTGCAATTCAGCTCTCAAGAAAATCATGCAGTATCAACAAAAGCCTATGTGTCTGAAAAAGAGCTCAACCTCCAATACAATTTAAAGACCTATATCGTGCAAACATTTGAAGAAGGCCCATTTCCAGTCAAAGGTGCACATTTTTAAGTAGGCAGTGTTATTTTACCTTATATTCAAAGCAGGAAATGCATAAATAAAGCAAATCCAACAAGCGATTGAGCTGCAACACAGACAGATCTGTGAACCATTTCTGCAGAACACTTTCGTCAGCATTCTTCAGGACCCATAAGAGACAGATCAAAAGGTTTCGACTGGAATCAGCTGAAAATGTTGAGTGTTGCCTGCTGGCCTGCATTCAGAGATAGAACAGATCAAAACTGTGGTTACCAGTTTGGTCCCGAAATAAATCTCGTCCAACTAAAGAAAATTGTTATGTTCTTTTGCAGATTTCAAAAAAGGGATGCAAGCTATTCAGATAGACCTAATGCCATCCTGCTTAGTATTAACTTATAAGATTTGGACAATCTACCAGACTCTGTATAAATGGGTCACAGTATCTCCCCCCCAGACTGTGGGATCCTATGTCAAACTGTAGATCACATTGTGACCAGCAATAAGCTGGGGGCATATACCAATTCGGGATCTGATTTTTTAAAAAATATATATAAACAATGCTGAGATTCAGTGCCTGAATGGCCTAGACCAGTGATGGCTAACCTTTTGCTTGTCGCGTGCTGAAAGTGCATGCGCGTGTCTCCACCTATAATGCAATGGGCGCGCAATACCCCGTCCCCCTGCGCATTCCCCACCCTTGTACATGTGTGCGCGTCTCTCACACACACGTCTCCCCCACACATGTGCAGCAGATACCCGACAACCAGCTAGGTGGCGGGGGCACACACACACGTGCAGTGAGGCTGTTCCAGGTGACCTCTCGCATGCCGGCAGAAATGACTCTGCATGCCTCTTGCAGCACGTGCCATAGGTTCACCATCATGGGCCTAGACATTGATATTTGAACACAGATCCTTTTAACATTTATATTTTATTGTGTTTTACTAATCCATGTGAAATTTTAATATGTACTGCTAGTCCATGTATGATATGCAATTGCTAAATAAATAGCAAGGTATGGACAAGTCTTTCAACAAGTTTCAAAATGAAGAGAAATGTCATATCCTGATTGTCCCAAAGGTGCTTTTTCAAAAGGCAACTGGACTTTGTTTTCCCCTAAAGATATTTCACTTCTCATCCAAGAAGCTTTTTTAGTTCTGAAGTGAAACGTTTACAAAAAAAAAACAAAGAAAATCAGTCAAGTTGCCTTTTGAAAAAAAAAAAGTACATTTCGGACAGCCATGACCTGGATGATTCATTCTTTAGTTTTCATGAAATATGTTAAGAATAGTGGCATCATTTCATGGCTTTCACCGAGTCTTCTTGTTCCTTGAATGCAGATTCCCAAATATTTATTTATACATAGATCTTTTGAAGGAAGATGTTTTTGTACCGTTGATGTGAGGAGAAAACTGGTAGGCCGGGTGAGTTGTGGGACAGAGGTTCCTGCAATGGCCATAGCAACTGTCTGACTGATCATGTTCCCACCCTCACTTTCACAATCCTCCACTGCGACGCAGCTTGGTCTTCCACGCTGATTGTGACTTTCTGCAGCAAAATAGACCAATTGTAATGAAATGAAACATTAATGCGGTTGCTCAAATACAGTTATATGGAATACAGACACTTAATAGCAAAACACAGAAAAGTTTCGTATTAGATGACATTATAATTAACCCACAGAATACCAATCAAAAAGGTTCATTTTAGCCATCTAGTCTAATTCAAATTAAAATAAACCCTTCCTAATTATTCCTAACATTCAAGTAGAATTTGTACTTAAATGCAGTAAGGTCCTGCATGCTGGAAGAACAGCAATAGGTATGAGCCTTTGATGACACATCCTTTCAGGTATTTCAGAACTCTATAGAATGTTTAGGTCAGGGCTGTCAAACTCGCAGGCCCTGGGCCAGATGTGTCAGGTGCTGGCCACGCCCATGCCCATTTTAGCAAAGGGGGAAAAAACCCCAAAAGACTTGCAAAAATGTTTCCAAACTTAAACCGTAATTGCTGGAAATGTAAAAAGGTGGAAGGTATCTTCTTCCATGTATGGTGGCTTTGCCCGGAAATTAAAAAATACTGGATCAAAATACAAAAATGGTTAAATGAAATCAGACATTACCAAATAGAATTGAAGTCTGAATTCTTTCTACTGGGGATTATTAAGGGAAAATATCCTAAAAAAATATATATATTTGATTATACATATTACCACAGCAGTGAGAATTGCACTCGCACAATCTTGGAAAATGTCCATTATACCAACAGATTGTTTAGTAATCCGTAAAATTTTCAATTGTGCAGAAATGGACAACCTCACTACAGAATTAAATAAGGAAGACTCGGAATATTTCTCAATTTGGGATAATTGGTATCAATGGATAGATAGTAGGAGTATGAAACATATAGATTAGAATAAGATATAAGCTTTGTATATGTATATGATTAATTAGAAATGTCTGGAAATGTATGAATATAGCTAAGATTTTTGTACTGTCAAAGACTGATGGTGAATTGTACAAACTGAATTCTTTTTTATAGTTTTATTTGTATTTTACTGTTTTAAATTTCAATAAAGGTTTAAATTTAAAAAAAAAGCAAACGGGGAAAAATCCTGATAGGTCACGTGATGCTGCCATAACAATATGAGTTTGATACCCCTGGTTTAGGTAATCATTTTTAAATGAATGAAAGAATGATGTCACTTTTTTTTAATTTGTCCAATTAATTAACTCCCCATCACACAAGTGACTCTAGCAGTTCTTTGCTTGTCAGAAGGTGACAAAAGGTGATCACATGACCCTGGGAGACTGCAACAGTCATAAACACATGCCAGTTGCCAAGCATCTGAATTTTGATCATGTGATCATGGGGATGCTTCAATGCTCATGAATATGAAAAACTGGTCATAAGTCACTTTTTTTTTCCAGTGCCTTGGTAACTTTGAATGGTCACTACACAAGTGCTTGTAAGTCAAGGACTACCTGTATGGCATGCATTCATTTCCTACTCTGCAGGTAGTCCTTGACTTACAACAGTTCATTTAGTGACTGTTCCAAGTTACAACGGCCCAGAAAAAAGTGACTTTATGACCGTTTTTCACACTTACGACAACTGCAGCATCTCCATGGTCACGTGATCAAAACTGAGATGCTTGGCAACTGAGTCATATTAAATGACCGTTGCAGGGTCCCAAGATCATGGGATCCCCTTTTGTGACTCTCTGAGAAGCAAACTCCATGGGGATGTCAGATTCACTTAATAACTGGGTTACTAACTTAACATCTGCAATGATTCACTGTGTGCTTGACATGGGATTGCAAAGGTAAATAGACATTTCAAGCACACATTCAAACTTTTGGATGCAGTTTAGAAACTCTTCAGAAAAACAACAAAACAATTTGCTGCTTTAACTAACTATTCAGGTAGCAGTGCAGCTAATGGGCTAGCATACCAAATACCTGTGAAATCATACAGCTGGGGCACACTCTCCATGATCACTCCAATCAGAGGCAAGTATAGAGTAGCCACCCTGGCCTTTACTTGTGGGTCAGAGTACCGTGGGTCAGAGTCATGGCTAGATAGCAAATTGTGTACCATGTTGATGACTTTCTTATGCAATCCAAACAAACTATGTAAAAAAGAGTCAGTAGGATGAGTTAGAGCAGATATGGCATGGTAAACACACATATACACATACTCACATTCACAAATTTGACTCCTTTCAATTATATCCCTTATTGTATGATTTTTTTTCAATTTCATGTTATCCTTTATTTAGCTAATTTGAAGCAATGTAGCAAATATATTGCAGAATTAGAATTAACCTCCTAAACTAGAACGTGCAAAATAAGCCAGAATTAGCCACTTGATTCTGCATCTTTAGCTCCAGACACAAAATGTAGACAGTGGTTAATATATAAACTGATCTGCAGATAAATTATTATTATTGCGATGTGCATATATAACAAAGAAAGGGGAAGGGAAAAGAAGATACACAAACAAAAAAAGGAAAAAGAGGGGGAAATGAAAAAATAAAGCACAAAATACACAAATAATTTACAAACATCATTAGAATTTTTTAAAAGTTTTCAATGCTCCATTAATTTAAATCAATAAATGCAGGTCATCATTTTAAAAACTCCTAATCATTATTAAAAAAATATGAAAATCAACTGCAACAACAGTCAACATGGTATGTAAGTCATATAATAAAATTAAAAATTACAGGAATTTCTATCTAAACAATTAAGGACTTTATACTAAGAGAAACCCACATCTCAGATATGGAACAAGCCTATAAATAGTGTTGTAATCCAAACATATTTCCAAGTTGAATTACATTCTGTTTCAGATTTATTTTTGAAATACAAAGTTATTTTAGACACCTAGGCATACACCAAGAACTTAATTAGACATTCTTTTGAGTTTCCCAAAGGAAATGTGGACTACTCTTACAGCAGTTACCATAAATAAAACTAATCCAGCATACTTTGGGAGAATATGAGATTTTGTCATTCTGAAAGTGTTTTTGATGCTTGGTATGTTCAGTTTTAGATGGTTGATACTTTCAACTACTTTGCTTCATCCTATTCTTCCCTATTTCTGTTTTTTTTTTTTTTGCATTGATGGCTGCAGCAAGAATGCCCAAAGATTAACTCTCAGAACCAGAGATAGCCACAAAGTAGCAGAACGTAATCTGTGATTATTCTAGTTATTGAATATCACAAACCAAGACTGGAGCACAACACAGATTGTTTAAGAAGTAGTGATGCCGCAGCAACCCGTGTTAATAAGAAAACAAAAATGTGTGTGGTAACATCATAGTACAAATTTCTTCTTACCTATTTCCCACCTAATATTGGACAAACATATGTACAATTTGGTATCTATGTCATTATGTTGCATTTTCATCACTTGCCCTCCATTGTAGAGGCCCACAGTTGTGCAAGAAAAGAAAATACACTGGGATGAATGCATAACGAAAGAAAAGAAAAACCAATCTAACTTTAGTTTGGAGCATTCACCTTTATTGCAGGTAGCCCTCAACTTATAACAATTCATTTAGTGTCCATTCAAAGTTACAATGGCACTGAAAAATGTGACTTATGATCCTTTTTCAGAGTTATGACCCTTGATCAGCATCCCTATGATCAAGTGATCAAAATTCAGACACTTGGAAACTGGTTCAGATTTTGCTATGTCCCAAGGTCATGTGATCACCTTTTGCGACCTTCTGATAAAACCAAGTCAATGGAGAAGCCAGATTCACTTTAACAACTAACTTACTAAGTTAACTTCCTAACTTATCAACTGCAGAGATTTACTTAACAACTGTAGCAAGAAAGATCATAAAATGGGGCAAAACTCACTTAACAACAGAAATTTTGGGTTCAATTGTGGCCATAAGTCGAAGACTACCTGTATTTTAATGCCTCCTTTGGGTTGAGCAGCTTGAAGTCTAGGCCAATAATTGAATGATTAATTGATTAACAAGCCCTATTCAAAACCTATATATGGAATTAAAAACACTAGTTCATTGCCATGAATTTTAGAGGTACTAATAGGTGCATTTTCAAAACCATTTGATACTCGTAAGTTATGTGTGAATAAAATTACTGCAACCAATCTTCCTTCAATGGCTAAAGATAGAGCAATTTCTGGTGACAAATACAGTCAAAGGGATCATTATCACTACTTGGACTCTGCTTATTCTTTTAAATTCATTATTTATTCATAAGCAACTTTTACGTCATACCATATCACAAGTAGTTTTATCACACATAGATAAATAACGGTCTTTTGTTTGGTTCTGAAGCATCCCAATGATAGTTCTCTCTAGGAAATGGGGACCTAGAACAGATCACACAACCTATAGACAAAGATTGCTAGGAATATTAAGAGAGGTGAACCCTGAACAGACATAACTCATCAAAACTGACCCTAATATAAATGGGAAATGTCATCTTTGCAGTTGGAAAAAAATATATGGGAGAAAAACATCAATAATACATATCATGTCTTGCACTGATGAAATGAAATAATTGCTATATTTTGGCTTTACATGCTTTATTCATTAACAAGTAATGGAGTGAGTTAAAATTTATCTACTACTTGCTCTATCTACTTACATTTTTCATTGTGAGTTGTTACTGACCCCAATTATTTCATATGAGATGATACTATTCAACCACAGACTATTCTACTGGAAAATAATAGCTTGGTTTAAAACAAAACAAAACAACCCTTTTCTAAAGCGTAATAAATTTTATCTTATTTTATATTTGTACAATTTTCTGGATGCCTGTGGATTCTCAAACCTGAGTGATAATTAATTTTTTCTGCCAACGGATAGTTGTCCAAAAAGACCATATAGTACAGTGGAGAATAGAAAACATAGTCTAGCAGTCAACCATGTATTAGCTATGGTTCCATTTTTTATTTCTGTAATTAGAATATTATGCTAGGCTGCCCATGCTGAAAGCCCTTCAACCTTTTAAGAAATATGTGGCTGTTCTACTTATTTCCTGTTTTCAATGAACCTGATCTGAAAAGGCTGTTCTGGTGGGCAAAAATTGTACAAAATTGGTAGTCCTCGACTTATGACCATAATTGAGCCCAAAATTTCTGTTGCTAAGTGAAACATTTGTTACATGAATTTTGCACCTTGTTACGACCTTTCTTGCCAGAGTTGTTAAGTGAATCGCTGCATTTGTTAAGTTAGTAACACGGTTGTTAAGTGAATCTTGCTTCCCCATTGACCCAAAGGTGCTTTTTCAAGACGCAACTGGACTTTCGTGTTTTTTCTTTGAAGATGTTTCGCTTCTTATCCAAGAAGCTTCTTCAGCTCTGACTGGATGTTGCGGAATGGAAGGATTGATATTGCTTGCAGACAGCTGGTCATTTGAATTTCCCATTGACTTTGCTTGTCAGAAGGTTACCAAAGGTAATCACATGACCTTGGGACACTGCAATCCTCATAAATATAAGTCAGTTGCCAAGTATTTAAATTTTTTATCATGTGACCATGGGTATGCTCCAACAGTTGTGAGAAAAATGATAGTAAGTCCCTTTTTTTTCAGTGCTGTTGAAAAGTCACTAAATGAACTGATGTAAGTGGAGGACTACCTGTATAATTATCTGAACAAATTTAAAGAATGGTTGAGTGTGAAAAGAACAAAGACTTGAGAAGAAATACATTCTTTCACAATCCTGTGACAATGTGAGAGAGGAAATATGTTTTAAATTATTAAAACATATTTCTGTTGGAAACAATTTTAAAATTTACCTATCTGCTTCAGGATCTAGAATGACAGCTAGTTCAGTCAGCACTAGTCCTGCCAAATAATGTTGTTGACGAAAAGGAACAGACAGTTCAAACATATTTGCAATCTTCTGATCCTGGACATTTGTTGAGAAGCCAGAACTCTGTAACACAAAAACACAACTTCTTGTAGATTTTATTATATGTATTAGTCCTAGTGGCCTCCACAACTGTGATCTCATTATTTATTTATATAAATATATTCATAATAAAATAACAGAGCATGAAAGAAGAAAAAACAACAACAAAGAAATACATTGAACCGTAGTTCGGGAAAAGAATTTATCTGCTTTTTTATTACTGTTCAACAGCCAACTGTACCAGGACTTGTTTATTGCAAATTAAAAGGGATTCCTGATATTTCTAGATGGAATTTATGAACAGGATTATTATTATTATTATTATTATTATTATTATTATTATTATTATTATTATTATTATTATT